GGTCGAAATCTTTTCAATCTCATAGCTATTGCTACCTATTGTCATGCAGCCTGTATGACTTTGACTTTGTAAGTGCGCTTTATGTGACTCTTCTTTCCTTTTCGTTCTAGCTTTTAGCCAATCTCTAGGCCTCACTTTATAAATATATATAGATCTTGACAAGATGTCCCTCTGGGAATCTATTGATATACTTGACGTTCTTTGCTCGATACTTTGTTGAACTTACGAATATTGCTATATCTTATTTCATAGATCCATTTATCCATCCGTATGACTTTATTGCATCTAGCTGGGTCATACTATACCATGACTCTTACTTCGATTGATAGTTACTGAGGTCTACGAACAAACTCCAGGTTACTCTTTCGCTACTTATCATATATGTATAAGTCTTAGTCCTTTAATTCTTCCTCATTACTGTTCATCTTAGGAATGATGGCCTAATTTTATCTCCTAATTTTTATCCATTATCCATCCATTGTCGATTCACCTCAATGTTGATCTACAATCTTCCATTGATAACTTGAAACTTCTTACGTAATACATTGCCACTAGGGCTTATGTTGCATCGAGGAATATTTGAAGTGATTTTCATGATCCACTTGGGGGCAATACTGTACCTCAATAATCATATTTGTTTACCGTAAAAATGGTAATAACAATTAAATTTGTAAATAGGATTCTAAAAATACGTGATCTATTCCCGAGCTAGTTTGTAAGGGTGGTTACTGCTAAAAGTGAAGTAAAACGGTAAAGATTGAGTTAACCAAAATAGCAATCGAACCAGTAGGGGGACGTTTCCCGGGTGCAAAGCTGGCCAGTAGCTACCTCAGAGCTGGGCCTCGAGCCTATCTCGGGCTTATCGAGGGTAGTCGGGAAGGGGATAACAGATAAAGATATAGGCAAGCAAGGCTCTATACTATCAATCTTGAACTAAACAATGAGGAACAAACGAAGAAACAATAAAGTGCTAAGGCGGCATCGGGGTCGATGAAGACGGATAACTTAGAAGAAAGAAAGAGAGATATTATTGCATTGTGGAGGAGTGGAGCAACATCAGTCCTTTACAAGGTAGGGTGAGTCCCCCTTATATAGTCGAGGGGACTCGGTAAAGTACGTATAAATTATTTACAAGAGGTAGAGGCCTTGGGACTCTAATTTTAAAGCTAATTTCTTCTTGTCATATCAGTTGCAGAAAAAAGGCAGAGGCCTTGGAGTACCTTAAAGGTGACGTGAACCGTGTCAAGGGCGCTTGCGAGGAGCTAAGGGGCCAAGTGCAGGCTCAAGCCTTGGAGGAGATGAGTGCCTCGACTAGGATCCCTGCCTTCGAGGTCCAGCTCAACTTGTCCTGTGGTAATGCCAAGGTTCAGGCGGATATGATCGAGAGGCTGGAGTCCGACCTCTCGATGGTCAGGGCCGAGATAGTTGATGCCCGGGCGGAAGCGGCGCTAAGCCAAACCAGGGCGGATCGCGAGATGGCGATTTGCATAAAGGAGGCTGCTGATGCCCAATCTGAGTTGAGGCAAGCCCTTGATCGTGAGAAGAGGATCGGGGAATATGTTCGCTGCCGATCTCGGAGGGAAGTATTGGAGGAAGTTGGAGTGAGAGGCTTTGTTCTCTCGAAGGAATTGGATCAAGCAAGGGCGGACGAGGGTGACGCTCGGTCACTCCTCGTGAAAGTTGTAGAGGGCGATCTTGACGGGTTGTAGCCCTTTGTCGCAAAATATAGATTTTATCATTTTGTAACTTGGTTTCCGGAGAATGTTTTTGTCGTATGTAAAGAAGAATTTAAAAGCATTATTCCTTTTGTACCTTTTTTCTGCCGTTGATCTCGATTGTGTAGATCGGTTTGTGGAACTGGTCCCCGAGTCATGTTACGACTCGAGCTTTAATTGGCCTTCCAGCTTCTTCCCGCCTGTAGGGGTGGAAGGTGATGACCCTTTGTGCTCCTGGATCAAAGCGATTTTACGGGCGCGCGGCTTGGAGATTTGTCTCGACCGTTGATAGCATCGTTTGGGCCGTATTTTTTGGCGTATTGTGATTGAATTGCCCTCGGGTTTAGTCTGGAGTCGGGATCCGACTCGAGCTTAACTTACCGTTTAACCCATTTGGGCTTGTGATAATGATTTTCACTCTTTGCCTTTGGGCGTTTGGCAATTTTTCGGGTCCAGTCTCCGAGTCGCGTTGCGATTCGAGCTGTAATTGACCTTTTGATCTTTCTGGTGGTTCCCGTTGGAGAAAGCGGCATTGATGTCACGCTCTAGGGAGTATTATGATTTTTAGGTCCAATCTCCAAGTCGTGTTACGACTCGAGCTATAATCGACCCTTGAATTTCATTTGAGCTTTCAGCCAGCGATGATGGCCTTTCTGTTGCTTGGTCGTTGAGACCTTTTTGTATGAGGCCCGGAGGCTTGCTTAGCCGGCGACAATGGCACTTACGCTGTTTGGTCGTGGAGACCTTTTAATGTGAGGCCTGGAGGCCTTTGCTTAGGTTAACTATTTTGGATCCGGTCTCTGGGTTACGATTCGAGCTCACTATAATTCTCAAGTTGTCAATTTTCAAGCTGGCGATAATGGCTCTTACGCTATATGGTCGTAGAGACCTTTTGATGTGATGCCCGGAGGCTTGCTTAGCCGGCGATTATGGCACTTACGTTGTTTGGTCGTGGAGACCTTTTGATGTGAGGCCCGGAGGCTTTTTGTAGGCCTTGTTTCCTCTCGTTAAGGTCTTATTGAGTATTTTGCCTGACCCATCGTCGGTTCTGAAAGAACCTCGATTTCAAGTCGTAGTCGGCGATGTTTTGAGCACCTCGGAAGGTTCATATCTCATAAGTCGAGTAGATCGATGCTTTTGTAATTTTTAGAGCCGACGTAGTCGGGACTCATTTTTTGCCTGTTGAGGGAAGCCTGTGTTTAACCGGTTCTTTCCGAAGTAGATTCGGAGGATTTTTTTGCGATAGTCGGGCGTCCTCGAGTCGCATTTTTTGGGCTGTAGCAGCCGTTTTGACGGGAGTCATGCGCGTTTGGCCGGGGCCATTTTTGATCCTGAGAAGCAGTTTTAGGCGTCTACGTCGAGGGTATGCCCTTTAGGGATTCTTATAAATGCGACCTATAGCCTAAGCTGCGGGATTTAACATGCCTGTTGAGGTCTTACAGTTTGCCATGCCTGTTGAGGTCTTACAGTGTACGGAGAATAGGTCTGGTGTTGCCGAGGCTGCCCGCTAGGGTTTTACAATTTCGGATATTCCAGTATGTGGAGATTGGAGGCAGTCTCCGAGTCATCGAGTTTGCTTGAAGACAGCTTCTCATGAGCTCGAAGCTGTTTCCGGGGGCTTGATGAGCCCGGAGTTGTTTTTCAGGGGCTTGGTGAGACCGGAGTCCCGACCCTGGGGTCGTGCAAGTTGTCAAATTGCTTATATTGAGTCTCCGAGTATATCGGATCGGTTTAGGCTTGAATACCGCCTTTTGTAGACTTGGAGCCATATCGCGAGGGCTACGTGAGCTCAAAGTCCCGACCCTGGGGTGGGGGTGCTGAACCGTTTAAGTCTCCGAGTATTTCGGATTCATTTGATGGAGAGGCATTTGCTGCGAATATGTCGAGACAATCTTTCTCGAAACATGAAATGCCGAGATGATACCTTTTATTGCTTCGGAGCAGATATAGGCCGTGATGAAAATGCCGAAAATATATTCTTTATTGCTCGGCATAGATATAGGCTGTTATGAAAATGCCGAAAATATATTCTTTATTGCTCGGTGTAGATATAGGCTGTAATGAAAATGCCGAAAATATATTTTTATTGCTCGGCAAAAATATAAGCTGTAAATACATGTTGTTCTGTTGCTGTGAGTCTGGTCCAGATGGGTGTGACATCCCTGATTATCCGATGTGCTTATATGATTCCATATCGGAAAATTTCAGGATAGAGAGAGAAAGAGAGAGGGAAAATCACGATCTCGTCAGGTCCTTTCCCTGGGGATATGCAGTTCTGCTAATAATCTTGTTCGCGAAACCTTCTTCCTGTTAGAAACCCAGTCGAGGAAAAAATTCCCGGCGGGCCCCGTGGTGGCTGCGGATCCTCGAGCGGGATCCAGAGCTACTGAATGCCTCAGCTGGCTACCTGCGGACAGATTAGCAACAAGAAAGGAAAGGAAAGGAAATGATAAAAGGAGACGGCGTTTCGGGGAGCAAGCCCCGTGGTAGTCGTCTTCCTCGCCCGGCCAGGCGTAGCCGAGGATGTGATTGCCCTTACCTTTTGACCTCATTTGAGGGCAACGCCGGTTATGGGCATATGGCGAGGGATCTCCTCATGTCGCTTGTAGCTAGATGCTTTGGCCCTGCGTCTGTCACGGGGTTTTACACCTTTGGAGGAGCTGGGTCGGAATCGCGTCCCAGGCGATGTATTCGCCGTTGTCTGTGCAAGGAGTCTGCGCCCTGCGTCGCTTGACGTATTAGCCCGAGCTCAGGCGAGCCGCACAGGGGAAGCGATTTGGTCGTTGTGGCGATCGCCATTGGGAACCTATCAGAGGTGCGGCCCGAGAGCGATGTTGGGCCGGATCGTCCTATCGGTTTTGGCCCAACATCGTCGGTATAATTTTGGCCGATACACCTGTACTCATAAATGTATGTTTTATTTGAAATGAGTCGAATGAAATAAGGGATTACCAATACGTTAATGTGATGCCGAAGTGGAATCTCAGCGTCCTTTCCCTCGAGCGAGGGGGTGTTCTTTGGAAGAATTTTCTGGGACTGTCCCTTTCTGGGGATGGGAATTTGCAATCTATGTTCTACGGATCTTCGCGGGATGTCGCCATCCCTTAACAGTTGTGACGATACGCCGCGCTTGCTGGCTCTGTTTCGTCCGATTTCCTCTCGTTCGTGGGGCTAGATCCGGGTTTGTTCGTTTGGCGACACTTTGTGGTGACCTTTGTTGAATGGCGTAGTTGCTGCTCTTTTAGGTCTGTGACTCAGAGCGTCTCGTGATTCCCATGGCGGGCCATGGTTACCTTGGAGGGGTTTTGGTTGAATAGATCTGGGCCTCCCGGAGTTCTTGGCTTCGCGTATGGTGACCATTATGCTTGGAACTGCAACGCTGAAGTTAAGCTCCATTGGGCGAGGTTTCCTTATCGGTTGCGTCTTGTTGAATCTGGTACCATTAGAGGTTCCTCGAGATGTGCTGTACCTCGAATCGTCTCTTCCGTTCGTGGTTTTTCGAGGCTCGTCCATGGCTCTAACTTGGGTCGGGTGTTGGTTGCTGGTATCTGACCAAGCCTCGACCGAATATTCGACCAAGCTTCGCTTGAACTGCTCAGGAGTCGCCGGGTATGCTTTGCTTGGGTTTTGGGCGATGGTCCGTGCCGCCCCACTATCCGGGATCGGGAGCGTTCTCGTTTGCCTGTCAGGGAGCGGGGTGCGGCTTCCCGTGATATTTTATTTCTTCTTCTCCCGGCCTTCGGTGCATTAGTCCCTTTTTGGCATTATTTTGATGGCGTCGGCGGATGCTTCCACAGATTGCGCTAGTACGGTGAGCGGGTCTCCGAGATTAGTTGTCGAACAATGACGCTGCGTCATGGTTTCTTTCGATGGGATTTCTTCAAATCTCCTTATCGGGACGGGCCCGAGTTCTCAATTCTGGAGGTCGCCGTTCCTGGACGGGCGTGCGTGAGTGGTGATGCGCCCGTGAGGACTTGAGATCCTGTCACTCTTGGGGGATTTCGTCGTTTTCGACTTTCGCAAAATGAGTTTTGGGATCGTATCTTCTGGAGACGGTTGCTGTAGGAGCCTCCGCGAGCATGATTCAATCTTTACGATAAGGTCTCCCAGCATTCTCACTGCTACAGGGTAGGTTGTCGGTTCGTCATTGCCCGATACCTCGGGTACTGGATTGAAATGAGGAGATATTTTGGGTGCTGCCACGCCGAGGGTCTTCGGGCGGCTCTGTAGCTGAGAGATAGTCAAATGCCGTTCCTGCAACATTTCAAATATAATGCTATAGTTAACTTCCCGTTCTACCCAGGCTGAGATTTTTTGGGCTTCCTGTTGGTTAGCGTGTTGCGTGCCGCCATCGGTGCGCGAGACTTCGTTACCCCGCTATGCGGCGTACGGGTCCGCGTCCGCTCGAACCGATCTAAATGTGTTATCGAGGTCCTGCAGTGTCGCGCCAGCCGTTAGAACGACCATACTGTTCTCTTTGCGATCTTTGGGGTTATCGTCCTCGATTTCCCTTATTGAGCTGATCATTAACCTGAAATCGAAAGATCTTGGGCAAGAAAAAGTGTGAAAGATATCGTGCGTTCAAGTGACAAAACTAGTAAGAAAATAATCACTATTATTTTTAGCCCTACGGTGGGCGCCAAACTGTTTACCGTGAAAATGGTAACAACAATTAAATTTGTAAATGGGATTCTAAAAATACGTGATCTATTTCCGAGCTAGTTTGTAAGCGTGGTTAGTGCTAAAACATGAAGTAAAACGGTAAAGATTGAGTTAACCAAAATAGCGATCGAACCAGTAGGGGGACATTTCCCGGGCGCAAAGCTGGCCAGTAGCTACTTCGGAGCCGAGCCTCGAGCCTATCTCGGGCTTATCGAGGGTAGTTGGGAACGGGATAACAGATAAAGATATAGGTAAGCAAGGCTCTATACTATCAATCTTGAACTATAATGAAGAACAAACGAAGAAACAATAAAGTGCTAAGGCGGCCTTAGGGTCGATGAAGACGGTTAACTTAGAAGAAAGAGAGAGAGGTATTATTGCATTGTGGAGGAGTGGAGCAACATCAGTCCTTTACATGGTAGGGTGAGTCCCTCTTATATAGGCGAGGGGACTCGGTAAAGTACGTATATATTATTTACAAGAGTACAAAGAGGAGACTTCCTCTTTTATCCTGACCTCGGACCCTGCATCCTTCGATTCGGACCTCGACGAGCCCTGAGGCCGAGAACTCGATCGTGGCCTTCCACCCTCGGGGTCTCGGGGAAGGCTTCCAAAATGTCTTGAAAGCAAAAAATCAAGTCTTCTGATTTTACCGCGTACAATATTTTATAGTATCCTAATGTGATTCACCTTACGTGGGTATTTTAATTCCGTACAATTCGTGAAATCCTCTTCAAATCATTAATCAATCGAAGGCCCGAACGTCATCCTTTATCTTCAACAATTACACCCTTATTATATTACCAGGGCATCATTCCACCTCTTCTAAATGCCATTTGTCTTTGACTCCTTTGAGTTCATTCATGCTATACTGAGCTTTGTATAACTTAGAGAAACCATCAGATCTTCTTCTTTTCATAGGCTTAATCCTGAGGACTTATCCATTTCGTCACCTTGTCACTCATCCTTTCTTATCCTTACTCATGTCTTCCTACAATCTCGTCGCTCTACCATACTTTAGCTTGCGACCCATACATATCCATTTACTCTACTCGCAGCCTTCCTTCAATTTCCTTGCACCATAGATTTCCTTGTGTTATTTGGAACATCAAGCGAGCGCATTGTCTCAAACTCTCCTTCACTCTCTTAGGTAGACCTCTCGATACTTAAAATCCATAGGTTCAAAGATATGCCACTGATGACGCCGCTATCATTCCTGGATACCGAATCACAACGCTTTTAGCCTTCTATCTGAAGTATAGATTATTCACCACCTTCTGCACATGAGTATCTCGTACGTTGTTCGCCTTTAGCTTACTTACATTAAAATCACACATCACATCTTCTTTCTCTTTCATGACCTCCCTTCCACATAGGTATAATTACATCCACAACTTGAAGGTCTATTATAATACTTGCACCTCTGGTGTATACATAATCCGATGGAAGCTTCATACTGATTTCTGATCATACTGGTACTCTTCTAAATAGAATCATCGTAGAGCCGTTATAGAATATGGTTGTTGTACTATCTATCTTCTACCTATTATATTAAGAGTGATCCTGCAATATTCTCAATCACGAGGTCTATAATTTTCTGGGTCCAATAATCAGACTCCTGATTTACTTCGTTGATGTAACTCTTTATTTTCTTCTTCCTTCTGATCAATCTTTAGGCTTAAGCTATCTTCCAATCTGCGGTTCATGGTATTACTTATTACTTTAGCCTTTCATGGACACTCTGGAATATCCATGATACAATCCTCTACAACCAAATCCTTTGTCTATGACCTGGGCTAAATTCTTTCTTTGAACTTATACCAAAATCTTCTACGGTTGAATGATTGTTAACATATATGCTTCATGGATAATACTCCAAACTCTTAAGTGTGTTCATAACGTAACTAACTCTAGATATTGGTCAAATAATCCATTTCGTTCCTTATCAGCTTTATTTAAACGTAAGCTATTTCTTTTTCTGGTCTTTCTGCCCCTTGTTGCGTGCATACTTGGCTTATCTTGGCGCTCATGAATACCAGAATCCCATGTAACCCATATAATCTCAAATATCACTTACTTCCTGTTCATTAGTCATGATAGATGCCACTTTCTTATGGAGTGCATACAATGTTGTAGTGAGACTATTTTTACATGACCATTTCTTCTTCAAGTTACTATGTTTAGGTTGAAGCCTTCTTCCTTATTTCCTCAGCTAGTTTTTCATTGTAGTACTTATGGAGGACCATCTAACTCTTGTAAAGTTGCGAGCTTATTACACCGTAAAACAATAAAATTTTTGATGTCCTTCCTCGCCTACAATTATTCGTAGTTACTTACCTCCACTCCCTTGTGCTTGTAGTGTTGCTCCTGAACTGATATTTTGACTGTCTTCGCAGTGGCATTCTATTTTATTCCCATAATACTCATACGGTACCTTTAACAATCCCAAATCCTATCTAAATATTTCTTATATATTACAATGACATTACTGCGAGGCTGAATTAAGTATATTGGGTTTTACTATGTTTATCATGCACGATCTAGACTTGCTTGAAACCTCCTGCTTAGCCATAACTAGGCTCTTCCTTAATCAACTACCAACTACTCATTGGCCCGTTCTCATATCAATGTTCCACGTAATCCTTATTTGGTTATTTCCTTTGTTTTAACTTACCTCTCGCACTGGCTCCTTATCTATTAATAACATTTCGAGTAGGAACCATTACTTCCTCTCCTTGGCATCCTGTTTGCATAATGTTCTGGAATTGTAGCATATATTTAGGCTTTGGATATTTGAAATTTCATCCCTTTTTCATTTTTTTCGCATTTTTCCTTTACCATTCCATAATTACTAGAACCACTTAATTCTGGCTTAATGCCACATCATTCCATATCCCCCCCTTTAGGGGAGTACTAAGAGTTGGAGCTATGATGACCTACGTACATATATTTTACCTCTTCAACTTTGGAATCCTTTCAAATCATCGATGACCCTTACTTGCCTTAAGGTAATCCTTTCTGTACCAAGGATAACAAAATTCCGTACTGACGAGGGTGACACTTAGTATAACTGGCACACACAGTCCCTTAAGCTGAACTTTGCTCAGATTGCTTGCTTTTGGGAAGCATCTTCCTGAATGACCATTCTCCGAATTTCTCATGAATCTTCTTCTATTGTCCATTCCATTATCGCCGGAACAAAACATGAAATTCTCAAAATGCCGACTATTATCAATCACTCAGTCCCTAATTCATGTTTAGTTTATCTTGTTCACCAATCCATACTGGTTTCTTTTACTCTGGGTCAAACTATTTCTTCTGGTAATCACGTTAGAGTACGAACTTATTTCTCGTAATGAGGATGTGACTTTATGACCTATACTCTTTTATTGCTTCAAGGCCTGTCACCTATCGTATTTTCCTTCCCTTGCCAATAGGCTCTGTATACTGTCATATCTTATTTACCATTGTCATCCATGTATCACATCTTACTCATAATGCTTTATTAAATCTCTTCTTATTTCCTGCTAATATTTTTGTCTATCACTTTATTCTGAAAACTTCAACAAGACATTCTTTCGCTTTTATCCCCCTTGCTCCATTCCCTAGATCTTTCAGTTTCCTAACATTCTTTCTCTACTAGGGACGGGAGCCACACTAAGGTAATATTTATCCCTTCAAGGTTTCCGGTTCCTATCTTTATAGTACTCATATATAGCTGTACTATTTTAGAGTGCACAATCTGGGTGTCTCAAAAGGAGAACTATTAGCACATTTGCAATATCATTCGGCAGTGTCAACTAACACAAAAAATTCATCCACCATTTTGGGTCACTCTAACCCCAGCCGCATCGTGATATTATGTCCTTCTCTTAAACCATA